AATGTCCAGAGGACCAGATTTAACTTTTTTAAATTTTTCTACCTGGATTATTGAGCATGCATCAGGATACTTTCATTTAAGTTCAGTTAGAAGTTAATACAATTTATTTATTTATTTTACTTTATGGATCTGAAGTTTTTAATCCAGAACCTCTACCTGACTGAAATGCTGTGAAAACCTCAGAGTTCTCCTGCTAAAGGAGGTTCTGCTGGGTCAGGACCATGTTCTGTTCTACACGACTGTTACGGCTGCAGTGGTCTTTGCCTCTTTTCCTGGTATGGTTCTGGAGACAGGCCTTCTGCAGGTGTTCTGTGTTGCCCTGATTGGTGCTCCTCTGTGATAAAAGCTGCCAGGTGTGCAGCAGGGGGGGGCTTCCCTTCCTCCTCCTCAGAACACCTTGTGGATTGGTTCGTATCAGTGTGGTTGGGGTTTGTTTGTTGGTTTGCATTTACCCATTGAGGCTACTTTTCAGGGATTAAAATCTTTGTTTTGGGCCATGCTCCCATACAATTTAATAAACACTATCTTCATTTAAACTGAAAATCCTTGTGTGGCCTCCTTTAATGTTACCCCCACCAAACAAGCCTGGTGGACGTAACATTGTGGGGGCTCGTCCTACACGTTGTTGGTGCCGTGTTTGGCGTTGTTTGTTCTGTTCAGATGGCAGTCACATGCTCCTGTTTTGGTATTGTTGTGTTTTCTTGTCTTGCCGGTTGTTTGTGATTTTGGCCTGGTTGGTTTTCTTGTTTCTTCTGTCTGTTTGGGGGTCCATGAGGATTTTGTTTTTTTGGGGGGCGGCCGAGTGTGTCGTCTAGTTGGTTGAAATCGGTGGGTGTTGGCAACTCCATTTTTTAGTCGACGCTGTTTGTTGTTTTTGTTATTTTTGGGCTGGATTCTGGGCTAAGGGCACCGCTTGGTGCTTCAACTGCCTCGGCTGCCTTGGCTCTTGGAGGAAGGCCTGAAGACTAGGCGAGGTGAGTCAGTTTTTTTTGTTTGTTTGTTTATGTTTGTGTTCCACTTAGTTAGCTGTAGGAAAGTGGAGATTTGCCATTTGTTTGCACCAGTCATACAGTTCCTCATAGTTGTTGGGTGAAAAATTTGGGTATTTGCTGTCTGGCTTTTGGAATTTAGTTCCAATTTTGTTAAAAAATGGATACTGTTAGTTCTTTTTTGGCTTCCCCAACTTTAGAACTTTTGGAAAAGCTCACCAAGGAGCAGATTCGTCAAGTAGCTGAACACTTTCGAATTGATTTTGCAGCTGCAAAAGGATGGAGGTTACCCCAACTAAAGGGTTTTTTAAAAGACAATCTTGTGAAAATGAATGTCTTTACTGTTTCTGTTTCAGACGCTGATATGACGGACAAGACTTCCACTCATGCAGATTCGTTAACCGGTGCCTCTAGGTCAGATGAGGACATTTTGGATCCAACAGTAACTCAAGATTCTCAATTAAAGTTTCAATCTAAAAGAACTGAGTTTGAATTGCAGTTTGAGTTGGAAAAGTTGCGGCTGGTCCATGATGAAAAAAGATTGGCACGTGAACATGAACTGGAAGAGAAGAGGTTAGCACGTGAACATGAATTTGAGGAAAGGAGGTTAGCACGTGAACATGATGAAAAGAGGTTGGCATATGCACATGAGTTAGAGCTTAAGAAATTATCTCTAGAAGCTGAGCATCTGAAGTTGAGGTCTGAGGGTAGGTTAAGTGGTGGAACTCTTAATCTGTCTCAAATTAGTGATGGGTTCTCTGGACGTAACCTGGTTAACATGTTGAAGCTGTTACCTAAGTTCAATGAACAAGATCCAGATATATTTTTCTCTTTGTTTGAGGACATGGCAGAGGACAATGACTGGAGTGACTCAGATTGCTCCATTCTCCTGCAAAGTGTACTGGTGGGTAAGGCCCAAAAAGCTTATGTTTCATTACCTTCAGCGGAAAGAAAGGTGTACAAATCTGTTAAGGAAGCTGTTTTGAAGGCTTATGAACGGGTTCCTGAATATTATAGGCAGCAATTTAGAAACTACAGGAAGGCTGAAAAACAGACAAATACAGATCTTGCCAGAGAACTGAATGCCCAATTCTACCGTTGGTTATCGGCAGAGGGTGTAGATGACTTGCAATCCCTTTGTGAGTTGATGGTGTTGGAAGTGGAACCCTGTCCATTTCATTATAGGTTCTGACCCAGAAAACCCAAGAATGATGGGATGCATCACAAACAATGATGAGTCCAGCTACAGGCAGGAGGTGGAACACCTGGAGAGCTGGTTCAGGAAGAACAACCTTCACATCAATGTGAAGAAGACAAAGGAGATGATTGTGGACTTCAGAAGGAACAAAAACACCTACACCCCCCTGAACATAAGAGGATCTGCGGTGGAAGTGGTCTCCAGCTACAAGTACTTGGGTGTGCACCTGAACTACAACCTCAGCTGGAGCAACAACACCACCAGCCTGATGAAGAAAGTTCATCAGAGACTCTACTTCCTCAGACGGCTGAGACGAGCTGGTCTGGAAGCTCAGTCCTCACCTCCTTCTACAGGTGTGCAGTGGAGAGCATCCTGTGCTCCAGCATCAACGTGTGGCATGGAGGCTGCACAGCTGCAGAAAGAAAAGCTTTGCAGAGAGTGGTGAAGGCTGCACAGAAGATGTTGGAGTCAGTCTCCCCACCATCACAGACATCTACACCTCCAGATGCAGGAAGAGGGCCACCTGCATCATGAAGGACCACACTCACCCAGCACACACACTTTTTGCCCCACTCCCCTCAGGAAGGAGGTTGAGGAGCATTAAGTGTAGAACCACTAGACTGAGGAACAGCTTCTACCCTGAGGCTGTTAGACTCATGAATCTCTAACCAGAATAATCACTGTGAAAAATCACATCATGTTGCTGCTGATCTGTTTCATGCTGCTGCTGATCTGTTTCATGTTGCTGTGTTCATGCGTGCACATCTGCTCACACAGACTCATGTTCGTGCTGCTGTTCAACGTAATGTTTTATGTTATGAGTGCTTAGTTTATTTTTAGTTGATGTTTTTCTTAGTTCATATCTTAGATGTTATTACTGTTTTGTTTTTTTTACATTTTATTGTTGGATGTAACTGGGACCCTGTGAACTCAATCTCATTCCACCACATGTACCACACGGGATGAAATGACAATAAAGAATCTCTGTATCTCTGAACTGGAACAATGTTCCAGTTCAGATGAACTGAACCAAGGAAAGGAGGAGCTGGTTCTTCAACTTCTAATCTGAAAACTTTAACTTGTAATATTAATACTGTAACTACTTTAACGTGTAATCTG